AAAGAAAGAAAGAAAGAAAAGGAAAGAAAGAAAGAAAGAAAGAAACAGGACACTCCCAAGAACAAGGAGGACTATTGCACAATGATGAAGGGGTTGTATGAGTTTGCCAGGGCTGCCATAACAAAGTATCACAAGTTTAATGATTTAAGCAACAGAGATTAATTTCTTGTGGTTCTGAAGGCTGCAAGTCCAAGATCAAGGTATTGGCAGGTTTTGTTTCTCATGATGACTCTCTCCTTGGCTTTCAGCTGACTACCTTTTTACTGTGTCCTCCTCACATGGTCTTTCTTCTGTGTACATGCATCTATGTCTCTCTGTGTGTCCAAATTTTCTTATAAGGACACCAATCAGATTGAATTAAGACCCATTCTAATAGCCCTCCTTTAGCTTAATGACCTCTTTAAAGGCCCTGACTTCAAATGCAGTTATATTTTGAAGTACTGGGGGTTAAGACTGCAACATAGGAATTTTGGAGAGACACAATTCAGTCCATAATATTCCACTCTCTAGCCCCTGACTCTCATAATGGGGGTCAATTATATATGTATATGCAATAAGGTTAACACTGATAGAACTAAAAAGGGAAATGGAGAAATTCACAATTACAGTTGGAGTTGTCAACACTCCTCTTTGAGTTGTCAACATTCCTCTTTGAGTAAAACAAGTCCAATAAATAAATAAATAAATAAATAACCTGAACAATACTATCAACCAATTCAACCAAATTAATCTTATGGAAAACTGTATCCAACAAAAGCAGAGTACACATTTTTTTTTTCAATACACCTGGAACTTTCATGAAGACAGACCATATTTGGAGACCTAATAAACTTTAAAAAATTACAAATACAGATAAGATATTATACAAAACATGTCTCAGACCATAACAAAATTAAACGGAAGTTAGGAACAAAGTAATATTTGGAAAATTCTCAAATATTTGAAAATTAACACACTTCTAAATAATGTATAGGTCAAAGAAGAAGTGGTCAGAAGAAAATTTTAAACTATATTATGAATTGAATGAAAACAACATTTTAATGTTCTAAATCTAAAATTCGCAGGTTTCAGCTTAAGCAGAGCTTAGAGGGTAACTTATAGCCCTGAGGGATTACATTTGAAAAGAAGATAATGTAGAATCAATCATCTAAGCTTCTCTTAAAAAAAAAAAAAAAGACTAGAAAAAGAGCAAACTAGACCCAAAGCAAGCAGAAGAATGGAAGATGTACGTTACTAAATGTCAAGTCTTACAATAAAGCAAAATTAGTTAATATGGTGTAGAATTGGCAAAAGAGAGATATGTAGATCAGTGAAACTGAATCAAGACGCCAGAAATAGGCCTGCAAAATTTAGTCAACTGATTTTTCTGGCCATAGTGCCAGGATAACTCAATGGAAAAACACTATTCTCTCTCTTGTATGCCTAATGACTATTTATGTTCCTACAAACAGTTATGATATTTAGCATATGAGTTTGGTTGCAGGTGAGGGAGAACCAAAATCACTGTAGCTTATACAAGGTAGATGTGTACTTTGTTTATTGAATCTAAAACACTTTTAATTATAAGATGTAACAGTACACTTAAAAGCATCAGTACAATTATAAAGCAAAAACAAAGCTCCCAATTAAACTGCTACAAGCTATAGATTGATGTTTCCAATTTCAAA